ATCTAACTTCGTAAGAAAGATTCCTAATCTTACGGGATAAATTAGTCGTTATATATTTCATGTTTTCAAGAGAACTAAGGTGTAATCTGCACCGTAAAATACCAAGATGTGTACCGGGATCCTCTGTGTATAGTCTTGAGAGTTTACTGTAGTTCTGGGGCCAGATTCACGAAGCAGTTACTCAAGTACTTCCGAACCTGTACATCTTTCTTCAATCTTTGACGGCTTTAGTTACATTTATTAAATAGTTTACAAGCATGAAAACTTGCCAATCAACTGTTGGTATTGTTATAAACAGCCTCCTGGTGCTTCGGAGCTCATTAACTGTTTAAAAATTGTAAACAAAGCCGCCAAAGATTGAGAAAAGATGAAGGTTCGTAAAAGTTTGCGTAACTGCTTTGTGAATCTGGCTCCAGGGATCGTAAGTGCTTCGTGAATCTGGTCCCAGGGTTCGTAAGTGCTTGCGTAAGTGCTTCGTGAATCTGTCCCCAGGGTTCGTAAGTGCTTCGTGAATCTGGTGGCCTTAATTAGATATTACAAGTTATTGTACAAATTGATTCGTTATTATGGATTTGAAATACGTCACCGAAAGTCAGATCATGTTCCAATTGTATTTCAATTAAGACAGCTTCTTGTCGAAGCTTCTAGATCCACGAAGGTTCATGAGCAAAGTCATCTAGGCATCCATAGGCCTAATGGAGGACGTGACCATTGTGGTGTTGTCGTGTAGGATCTAGACTGTAGGATTTATATATATGATATATGATTATTTTTTAATAACACTTCAAGTTGATAGGCATTAACCCCAATACCAAACCTAGGTGAGATGAGGTTAGGTTAGGTCAGGTCAGGTCAGGTTAGGTCAGGTTAGTTAGGTCAGGTTAGGTTAGGTTAGGTCAGGTCAGGTCAGGTCAGGTTAGGTTAGTTAGGTCAGGTTAGGTTAGGTCAGGTCAGGTTAGGTTAGGTCAGGTCAGGTTAGGTCAGGTCAGGTCAGGTCAGGTCAGGTTAGGTCAGGTCAGGTCAGGTCAGGTCAGGTTAGGTTAGGTCAGGTTAGGTTAGGTTAGGTCAGGTCAGGTTAGGTCAGGTCAGGTTAGGTCAGGTTAGGTTAGGTTAGGTCAGGTCAGGTTAGGTCAGGTCAGGTCAGGCCAGGCCAGGTCAGGTCAGGTCAGGTCAGGTTAGGTCAGGTCAGGTCAGGTCAGGTCAGGTTAGGTCAGGTCAGGTTAGGTCAGGTCAGGTTAGGTCAGGTTAGGTTAGGTTAGGTTAGGAGATCGATGTTGTGCTTCCTGCTAACTTCTCCAGAAATAAAGCCTAGTATCCGATTGGCCTCGTTGTGTATATTTATTCAAATTTAAATTTTTATTGAGGTAAAAGTGCATACATAGAAAATGAGATACAATCATAAAGTGGGATTTAGAGATAGAGCTAGTACATACAATACCTAAAGCCATTAATACGCAAAGCGTTTCAGAACAACACAGGTAAAAAATAGTTTTCCGGTTTGTTCAGCTCAATAGTTCAGATTTCTACTTTCTAATTTAGGAAGATAGGTTGATCTATTTCTACTTTCTAATTTGGGAAGATGGGCTGATCTATTTCTACTTTCTAATTTGGGAAGATGGGCTGATCTATTTCTACTTTCTAATTTGGGAAGATGGGCTGATCTATTTCTACTTTCTAATTTGGGAAGATGGGCTGATCTATTTCTACTTTCTAATTTGGGAAGATAGGCTGATCTATTTCTACTTTCTAATTTGGGAAGATGGGCTGATCTATTTCTACTTTCTAATTTGGGAAGATAGGCTGATCTATTTCTACTTTCTAATTTGGGAAGATGGGCTGATCTATTTCTACTTTCTAATTTGGGAAGATGGGCTGATCTATTTCTACTTTCTAATTTGGGAAGATGGGCTGATCTATTTCTACTTTCTAATTTGGGAAGATGGGCTGATCTATTTCTACTTTCTAATTTGGGAAGATAGGCTGATCTATATCTACTTTCTAATTTGGGAAGATGGGCTTATCTATTTCTACTTTCTAATTTGGGAAGATAGGCTGATCTATTTCTACTTTCTAATTTGGGAAGATGGGCTTATCTATTTCTACTTTCTAATTTGGGAAGATAGGCTGATCTATTTCTACTTTCTAATTTGGGAAGATGGGCTGATCTATTTCTACTTTCTAATTTGGGAAGATAGGCTGATCTATTTCTACTTTCTAATTTGGGAAGAAAGGCTGATCTATTTCTACTTTCTAATTTGGGAAGATGGGTTGATCTATTTCTACTTTCTAATTTGGGAAGATAGGCTGATCTATTTATATTTGCTCCAAAAATTAAGTTGGAGTTATTTAATTTAATTAAAAACAAATTGGAGCTCCAATTTGCCTCAAAATTAAGTGTGCTAATGTGTACCTTAATAGTAAAGATGAGCTAAGTCAGCTGATGAACACTGCATATATGTCTGTGTCACACACCCGCCTCTCCACAGTTGTGCTTACACTGGTTTCTGTCTTTTTAACCAAACTTAAATCCTGTGCAGGCGATGAGTCACAATAACGTGGCTGAAGTATGTTGACCAGACCACACACTAGAAGGTGAAGGGACGACGACGTTTCGGTCCGTCCTGGACCATTCTCAAGCATTTGTTTACTGAGAATTATATAAAATATGTTTAAATGTAATAATTTCCCTTGTAAATTAATGTAAATATAATCTCCATTTTTTGTAAATTATTTAAAGAAAAATAAGTATAACATTGAGGGGTTTTAAAGATCATGTTCAGTGATAATGAAACACTTGTTCAATGCGAATTATAATGTAGTATTGCCTTGTAAAACTTATGTATATATGATTTATATTGTATTTTCTTAAAGATAAACAAAATCGACTTGAGAATAGTTCAGGATGGACCGAAACGTCGTCGTCCCTTCACCTTCTGGTGTGTAGTCTGGTCAACAAACTTAAATCCTGTTTTGGATTTAAAAACCATGTACTTCCACCATCCTAATTAATCCCACACTCAGAATGGTGTGACAAGTTAAGCTAAGTTTAAGAAAGGTCATCATATGGGAGCTGACGATAAGGTCAAGATAATGTTATCATACTTATGACCACAATCCACTGCTTTAAATATTTTTGACAAGAACGAGATTCAATTTCTCAAATTCTTTCTTTATTATGTAACCCCATACCCATCCCGTGGGCGGTGGTATAAAGGGTTACAGAGGCATATATTCGGTTCAGGAACTGAACCCTCTAGTTCGTTTAGCTAAGCAAATAACAATCTTTTGACGCTAGTTACATAATTATTAATGTTATATATACTCAATATATACATGTACATATAAATATACATATACATATATGACAGTGTCAGACCACGGAGGAAGAATTGAAACAGGAATTTCCTTAAGTACTTTCGTATTTTAATAATCCATCTCCAGAAGGAAATAATTTTCTTCTGAAGATGTTTCCTTCTGAAGATGTATTATTAAAATATGAAAGTACTTAAGGAAATTCCTGTTTCAATTCTTCCTCCGTGGTCTGACATTGTCACATTTTTCGTCACGTGTTAATTTTCGTAATTTACACACTCACATATATATAAACATATATACAATCACCTACACAAATACACACATCAATAATCTTTTATATCACAAGTGATTCAACAAGAGGCTCACAACAGTCACTATACAAGGCACTTTACATCTATGGTGAGTGACACAGTTACTAGTCTTGCTGCACACCCACCCAACTGGGCGGCAGCTTTACAGTCATGTGCTCCACACCCACCCAACTGGGCGGCAGCTTTACAGTCATGTGCTCCACACCCACCCAGCTGGGCGGCAGCTTTACAGTCATGTGCTCCACACCCACCCAACTGGGCGGCAGCTTTACAGTCATGTGCTCCACACCCACCCAACTGGGCGGCAGCTTTACAGTCATGTGCTCCACACCCACCCAACTGGGCGGCAGCTTTACAGTCATGTGCTCCACACCCACCCAACTGGGTGGCAGCTTTACAGTCATGTGCTCCACACCCACCCAACTGGGCGGCAGCTTTACAGTCATGTGCTCCACACCCACCCAACTCGTCTCCGCCTCCACCGGGGTTCGATCCCCGGTGGAGGCGGAGACAAATGGGCAAAATGTTTCTTTCACCCTGATGCCCCTGTTACCTAGCAGTAAATAGGTACCTGGGAGTTAGACAGTTGCTACGGGCTGCTGCTTCCTGAGGGGTGTGTTACAAAAAGGAGGCCTGGTCGAGGACCGGACCGCGAGAATGCTATGCCCCGAAATCATCTCAAGATAACCTCAAGAAGATCCTTACCTCCTTAATTCTTGCCTCACTTGCCTCCTGTTCTTCTTCTTGTCTCATATCATTTTCTTCCTCCTTCTCACCCCCCCCCCTTTCATCCTACCTTGCATGAGTCCTGCCTATCCCGCCGCTTGTCTTCCTTAACTACTATCCTCCGTGATTCCTATCCTCCTTGACTCTTGTCCCTCTAGGCTTCTAGCCCTTCTTAGTGTTATATAGTCGTAATGGCCTAGAACTAGAACTCCTGATAATTTCCTTAGCTCCTACCATCCTTGGTAGGAAGTGAGGCCTCCTTGCTTTCTACCATCCTTGACTATTATCCTTCCTTCCTGAACTTCTGACCACATTTCCTGCTACCATCCTTGACTACTGGGCGCTCTCCTATCCTCCTTGTTACTTCCTTGTCTCCTGCTTCTCCTCTCAGTAGTGTATTTTACTCAGACCAACTCTTGCTGAGTTCCTTGCGTAGTACCTTGCGCCATAGGTACCTCCTGCTTAGTGTATATCATGTTGTCTGTACCTGGTGTTCTCTGTACTGGTACCTAGCAGTAAAATAGGTACCTGGGTGTTAGTCAGCTGTCACGGGCTGCTTCCTGGGGGTGGAGGCCTGGTCGAGGACCGGGCCGCGGGGACACTAAAGCCCCGAAATCATCTCAAGATAACCTCAAGATAAGAAGATACCAGGTGTTGTCTGTTCCTGCTGTTCTCTGTACCTCCTGTTCTCTGTCCCTCCTGTTCTCTGTACCTCCTGTTCTCTGTACCTCCTGCTCTCTGTACCTCCTGTTCTCTGTACCTACCGTTCTCTGTACTTCCTGTTCTCTGTACCTGCTGTTCTCTGTACTTCCTGTTCTCTGTACCTCCTGTTCTCTGTACCTACCGTTCTCTGTACCTCCTGTTCTCTGTACTTCCGGTTCTCTGTACCTGCTGTTCTCTGTTCCTGCTGTTCTCTGTACCTGCTTGTACCTGCTGTTCTCTTGTGCCTCCTGTTCTCTGTACCTCCTGTTCTCTGTACTTCCTGTTCTCTGTACTTCCTGTTTTCTGTTCCTCCTGTTCTCTGTACCTACCGTTCTCTGTACCTCCTGTTCTCTGTACTTCCTGTTCTCTGTACCTGCTGTTCTCTTGTACCTCCTCTTCTCTTGTGCCTCCTGTTCTCTGTACCAGGTGTTCATCTTACATTATATTTCCTGTATCTGAAACTTGTATCCTAGATATCCTAGATCGGCTTTTCTCAACCCTTGTACCACCTCTCTGGGTGTGTCTGTGTGTGGGGGGTGTGGGGGGGGAGGGGGGGGATAGGAGCAGGCCGTGTCCGCCATTTTGTGTACGGCGTTCAGGGGGAATTTTTCCATCCGCGGGCCATGAAGTGGGGCCTGCACGCTCCCCTATTTGATGAATATTTTTACACACACATACGTGTTTTCGTGTGTGTGTGTGTGTGTGTGTGTGTGTGTGTGTGTGTGTGTGTGTGTGTGTGTGTGTGTGTGTGTGTGTGTGTGTGTGTGTGTGTGTGTGTGTGTGTGTGTGTGTGTGTGTGTGTGTGTGTGTGTGTGTGTGTGTGTGTGTGTGTGTGTGTGTGTGTGTGTGTGTGTGTGTGTGTGTGTGTGTGTGTGTGTGTGTGTGTGTGTGTGTGTGTGTGTGTGTGTGTGTGTGTGTGTGTGTGTGTGTGTGTGTGTGTGTGTATGCTTTTAATTTAACAAAATATTGCTACAGTAAATTCTTGTTATATAAAAATATCAACAAGGATGCAGCAGAGCGCTAGTCGGCTTGTTGGGGATCGCTGCCCCCCTTTGACAGATTATATTGTTGAGGGGGGCGGCCTGGGGCTCTCAACCCCCCCTCCTTCCCTCCCTCCAACTCCACCATCACCCCCCCCCCCTCCCAGAAGACACAGCAGAACACCTACACCTCCGCACCCACCTAATCATCATGCACCTAATCATCACCCACCTAATCATCATGCACCTAATCATCACCCACCTAATCATCATGCACCTAATCATCACCCACCTAATCATCATGCACCTAATCATCATGCACCTAATCATCACCCACCTAATCATCATGCACCTAATCATCACCCACCTAATCATCATGCACCTAATCATCACCCACCTAATCATCATGCACCTAATCATCACCCACCTAATCATCATGCACCTAATCATCACCCACCTAACCAAATCATCATGCACCTAATCATCACCCACCTAATCATCATGCACCTAATCATCATCCACCATCATCCAAATATAACCTCAAGACGGCTCATTCCAATGAGTGTTTCCTGGAAATGCAAGTTCTTCTTCTGTTCATCCTGGTGAACATTATGTTCTTCCTGGTGAACATCACACCATCATGAACATCATGTTCAGTGGCGCCACCCCACACTGCTACACCACGATCACAGCCTAACCTAACCTACCCTAACCTAACCTAACCTAACCTAACCTAACCTAACCTTCCCTAACCTTCCCTAACCTAACCTAACCTTCCCTAACCTTCCCTAACCTAACCTAACCTTCCCTAACCTAACCTAACCTTCCCTAACCTTCCCTAACCTAACCTAACCTAACCTAACCTAACCTAACCTAACCTAACCTTCCCTAACCTAACCTAACCTTCCCTAACCTAACCTAACCTTCCCTAACCTAACCTAACCTTCCCTAACCTAACCTAACTTTCCCTAACCTAACCTAACCTTCCCTAACCTAACCTAACCTAACCTAACCTAACCTTCCCTAACCTAACCTTCCCTAACCTTCCCTAACCTAACCTAACCTTCCCTAACCTAACCTAACCTAACCTAACCTTCCCTAACCTAACCTTCCCTAACCTAACCTTCCCTAACCTAACCTAACCTAACCTTCCCTAACCTAACCTAACCTAACCTAACCTAACCTAACCTTCCCTAACCTTCCCTAACCTAACCTAACCTTCCCTAACCTTCCCTAACCTTCCCTAACCTAACCTAACCTTCCCTAACCTAACCTAACCTAACCTAACCTTCCCTAACCTAACCTAACCTAACCTTCCCTAACCTTCCCTAACCTTCCCTAACCTAACCTAACCTAACCTAACCTTCCCTAACCTAACCTAACCTAACCTTCCCTAACCTTCCCTAACCTTCCCTAACCTTCCCTAACCTAACCTAACCTTCCCTAACCTAACCTAACCTAACCTTCCCTAACCTTCCCTAACCTTCCCTAACCTTCCCTAACCTTCCCTAACCTAACCTAACCTTCCCTAACCTAACCTAACCTTCCCTAACCTAACCTAACCTTCCCTAACCTAACCTAACCTAACCTAACCTAACCTAACCTAACCTAACCTTCCCTAACCTAACCTAACCTAACCTAACCTTCCCTAACCTAACCTAACCTAACCTTCCCTAACCTTCCCTAACCTTCCCTAACCTTCCCTAACCTTCCCTAACCTTCCCTAACCTTCCCTAACCTAACCTAACCTTCCCTAACCTAACCTAACCTTCCCTAACCTTCCCTAACCTTCCCTAACCTAACCTAACCTTCCCTAACCTAACCTAACCTTCCCTAACCTAACCTAACCTTCCCTAACCTAACCTAACCTTCCCGCCTGACTACTGTGGGTTTGTTATTATTTTGTATTTCCGTTCGTCGCATTTTTTACGTAATCAATCAATTCGTTAGAAATGCAACGCGTTATTATCAATTAAAACATCGAAATATTGACGTTGTAAATGAATCAGCCGCGGTACGTTAGGTGAGTTGGCTTGGGCATAAGACACTGCACCAAGCAGTATACATGCCAGGTATGCCTAATAACAAGCAGTATACATGCCAGGTACAAGCACCACCAAGCAGGTATACATGCCAGGTATACGTACTAACAAGCAGTATACATGTCATGGTATGCCTAATAACAAGCAGTATACATATCAGGTATAAGCACCACCAAGCAGTATACATGCCAGGTATGCCTAATAACAAGCAGTATACATATCAGGTATAAGCACCACCAAGCAGTATACATGCCAGGTATGCCTACTAACAAGCAGTATACATGCCAGGTATGCCTAATAACAAGCAGTATACATATCAGGTATAAGCACCACCAAGCAGTATACATGCCAGGTATGCCTACTAACAAGCAGGTATACATGCCAGGTATGCGTACTAACCAGCAGTATACATGCCAGGTATGCGTACTAACCAGCAGTATACATGCCAGGTATAAGCAGCATACTGAACCTACTTCAGTCTTCTCCTCTTGCAAACTAAACTCACAAAGCATAACCTTGAACATTGTATAGTTGAGTGAAATGTGACTGTTTAATGTTGTATTAAGAGGTCCAGAGGACGTTCTTGAACTGTGTTGCCCTCTCAGTCTCAAGCATTGTTCAGAGTAGGTACTGTTATGCAAGCATTTCTACCAGTCATGTTTATCAGTTATTCTACCGGTGTTTCTGTCTTTATCTCATTCATTCTCATTCTCTCTCTCTCTCTCTGTCTATATCTTATTTATCTCATTCTCTCTCTGTCTCTCTCTCTCTCTCTCTCTCTCTCTCTCTCTCTCTCTCTCTCTCTCTCTCTCTCTCTCTCTCTCTCTCTCTCTCTCTCTCTCTCTCTCTCTCGTTATCACCGTTGGTTATCCCGGTGGATCCCCATGCTCTCAATTACTCCGTTAAACAGTTTTTCAACTCCTGTTGTTGTTGGTCTGCCTCTCATGGGTCCTGTTGTTGCTTTTTAGCCACACAGAACTCCTGATTGCAAAATGCTGCAAGATCACTTGAGAAAATATACAATTTGAACTCACAAATGGCTACTAGAATTCGGTCCCTGCACATGCAAGGTAATGAGAATAGGAACAACAGAAAAAACGGGTAGATTGTAGCCTCAAGAATGGGGCAGATCACTCAGTGAGAAATATTAAGATGCTAAGAAATTGAAATTGAAATAAGTTTATTGAGGTAAAATACACACAAAGGGATAAGGTAGCTCAAGCTATTCTCACCCCGTTCAGTACAACGTGTTAATACATATATACACACACATCACAAACAATAAACATATTACCGAACATTCTGAGTGATAAACATAAACATTTCTTCCTTTACACAAGTAGTATGTTACCAGACGTACACACACAAATACTTATATGACTAGGTATAGAGACAGTTTGAAATAGATATTCAGACAATCCAACAAAAGGTTTCAATCTTGGTGCAAGATTCTTATATCTCTCCAGAATATCATTAACCTTTCCGTTGTGACACATCCAGGCAATTTGTTCAGGAACAGTCCTTATCTCAGTGTTTCTATATACATTAATCAACGGACAATCAAGAACATAATGGGCAAGGGTGTGAGACCTTAACATACCACAAAGTTTACACTTCGTGTCATTATCATGAACACCTATCCCATATTCCCAGTAATATTTGTACCCAAGCCTGAGCCGCATGTACACAGAGTCACTCCAAGCATTTCTCCTTTTACCATAAGTGAAATGTTGGTGTTTTGACTCACATACATGTAGTGTTGCATGGTTAGACTACTCTCATACATTATCCCTCTCCTCTCCACTCCTGCCTGTGCCTGAATATTTCTGATTTTGCTTCTTATTTGTCTCATTGTGAAAAGACATTAATGTCAACTTTGAATGTGACACGTTTGGCCAGGTCATCCGCCACCTCCTTGAGCACTATTCCAACATGAGAAGGGATCCACATGAACTTCACTTTGTGACCTTTCAGCTGTATCTCAGTTATCCTTTTCTTACAATCCTCAACTATGGACATGAAGACTGGATTTCGACTGTATAAGGAATCAAGTGCTCCTCGGCTATCGACAAATACAAACACATCCTTGTCGTCATGACGTACTTCCTCCAAACACGCCAGAATGGCCTGCAGTTCAGCTTGTGTGGATGATATATAATTACTAAGCCGGAGTTCAATTTTCCTGTCCACAGTTCCAAACTCCGTATATTCCCTTATTAGCACACCACACCCTGCCCTGCCATCCTCCGCCACCGACCCGTCGCAATATACATGTAAACTGTTGCCTCTTGGTAACCCAGATATCATGCTTCCATTCAAACACCGTAATTGTCCCGGTTCATGATGAATCTTTTTCACCTTGAGGGGTACAATTTCGACGTCTATTTTCTGTACTTTCCAGGGAGCAGACATATTACACTGTCGAGAGGGTTTACAGCAGTCAAGTACATCGTATTCCCTGAGGTCATGAGCTAATCCCCTCGTGTAGCGTGTCTCAGTGTCCTGGAAGTGTCTCCCTCAGTGTCCTGGAAGTGTCTCCCTCAGTGTCCTGGAAGTGTCTCCCTCAGTGTCCTGGAAGTGTCTCTCTTAGTTTCCTGGAAGTGTGTACGTCACTCAAGCAGGTCTGAACGCTCTCAAACAGCTTATCCCATCCTTTTCTCCGCATGAAACGAATAGATACTCTAGTGTTAATGTCACGGACTCTATCATACATACTCTAAGTTTAATTCCATTCTCATTATTTCAATCATTGCATTTCTTTGACATCCAAGAATAATCCTCATAGCCTCGTTCTGTATCAACTCTATTGTGTTAATTCTGCCTTGGCCTGTGTAAGACAAAACGGGTGGGTCGTAGTCTATCAGGGACCGAACAGTGCTCATGTATAACATCCACAAGACAGGTGCCCCAACACCTGCACCAGAAAAAGCCAGTGCTTTTAGAGGATGCAGACGGGCTTTACACATACTGCTGATATGAGGTATTTCACCATTTTGACTCTCACATGTGTACCCAAAATACATTTCATACAGCATTTCAGCCAGAAACACTGTGCGTACTAGTGGCATTACAAGAATGTAAACACATCATGCTATGTACTCTCATCAACCCAATGTAACTTCTTGTATATAAATAAATAACTAAATAAACATACCCAGATACTTATACTTCTGAACACGGCTCAGTTCCACGCCAGTAAGTGTTATATTTCCTCGTTTACTATATTCATATTCGGTTTTGTCTGTATTTATAACTAACTTGTTACAGGTTGTAGCAAGTGCTAAGAGGTGCCACTACCCACTCAAAGAGGTGGGTAGTGCCCACTGCCCACTCTAGTGCCCATCCAAGGAGGTGGGTACTAGAGCCTGGGGCCGAGACGTCGTTAGACGCAAGAGAACGTCTTCTCGATGCAGTAGTCGTTTAGTATATGGGTCAAGCAGACGTCTGGTGCAATAATAGTCTTACTACTAGTCTTTGGTGCAATAATAGTCTTACTGCTAGTGTCTGGTGCAATAATAGTCTTATTACTAGTCTTTGGTGCAATAATAGTCTTACTGCTAGTGTCTGGTGCAATAATAGTCTTATTACTAGTCTCTGGTGCAATAATAGTCTTATTACTAGTCTTTGGTGCAATAATAGTCTTACTGCTAGTGTCTGGTGCAATAATAGTCTTATTACTAGTCTCTGGTGCAATAATAGTCTTATTTCTAGTCTTTGGTACAATAATAGTCTTACTACTAGTCTTTGGTGCAATAATAGTCTTACTACTAGTCTTTGGTGCAATAATAGTCTTACTGCTAGTCTTTGGTGCAATAATAGTCTTACGTCTAATCTGTATTGCAAAAATAGTCTTACTTCTATTATTTGGTGCAATAATAGTCTTACTACTAGTCTGTGGTAATATAATAGTCTTACTTCTATTGTTTGGTGCAATAATAGTCTTACTTCTGTTGTTTGGTGCAATAATAGTCTTACTAATAGTCTTTGGTGCAATAATAGTCTTACTTCTATTGTTTGGTGCAATAATAGTCTTACTACTAGTCTCTGGTGCAATAATAGTCTTACTTCTATTGTCTGGTGCAATAATAGTCTTACTACTAGTCTCTGGTGCAATAATAGTCTTACTTCTAGTCTCTGGTGCAATAATAGTCTTATTACTATTGTCTGGTGCAATAATAGTCTTTTTACTAGTCTCTGGTGCAATAATAGTCTTACTTCTATTGTCTGGTGCAATAATAGTCTTACTACTAGTCTTTGGTACAATAATAGTCTTACTTCTAGTCTCTGGTGCAATAATAGTCTTATTACTATTGTCTGGTGCAATAATAGTCTTATTACTAGTCTTTGGTACAATAATAGTCTTACTACTAGTCTTTGGTGCAATAATAGTCTTACTAATAGTCTCTGGCGCAATAATAGTCTTATTACTATTGTCTGGTGCAATAATAGTCTTATTACTAGTCTCTGGTGCAATAATAGTCTTACTTCTAGTCTTTGGTACAATAATAGTCTTACTAATAGTCTCTGGTGCAATAATAGTCTTACTAATAGTCTTATTACTAGTCTCTGGTGCAATAATAGTCTTACTAATAGTCTTATTACTATTCTCTAGTGCAATAATAGTCTTACTAATAGTCTTACTTCTAGTCTCTGGTGCAATAATAGTCTTAGTAATTGTTTCTGGTGCAATAATAGTCTTACTAATAGTCTTATTACTAATCTCTGGTGCAATAATAGTCTTACTAGTAGTCTCTGGTGTAATAATAGTCTTACTAATAGTTTCTGCTGCAATAATAGTCTTACTAATAGTCTCTGGTGCAATAACTAATAGTTTCTGATGCAATAATAGTCTTACTAATAGTCTCTGGTGCAATAATAGTCTTACTTCTATTGTATGGTGCAATAATAGTCTTACTAATAGTCTCTGGTGCAATAATAGTCTTATTACTAATCTCTGGTGCAATAATAGTCTTACTAATAGTCTCTGGTGCAATAATAGTCTTACTAATAGTTTCTGGTGCAATAATAGTCTTACTAATAGTCTTATTACTAATCTCTGGTCCAATAATAGTCTTACTAATAGTCTCTGGTGCAATAATAGTCTTACTAATAGTTTCTGGTGCAATAATAGTCTTACTAATAGTCTCTGGTGCAATAATAGTCTTACTAATAGTCTTATTACTAGTCTCTGGTGCAATAATAGTCTTACTAATAGTCTTATTACTAGTCTCTGGTGCAATAATAGTCTTACTAATAATCTTATTACTATTCTCTAGTGCAATAATAGTCTTACTAATAGTCTTACTTCTAGTCTCTGGTGCAATAATAGTCTTACTTCTATTGTATGGTGCAATAATAGTCTTACTTCTAGTCTCTGGTGCAATAATAGTCTTACTAATAGTCTCTGGTGCAATAATAGTCTTACTACTAGTCTGTGGTGATATAATAGTCTTACTTCTATTGTCTGGTGCAATAATAGTCTTACTACTACTATTGTCTGGTACAATAATAGTCTTACTAATAGTCTCTGGTGCAATAATAGTCTTACTTCTAGTCTCTGGTGCAATAATAGTCTTATTTCTATTGTCTGGTGCAATAATAGTCTTACTACTAGTCTTTGGTGCAATAATAGTCTTACTTCTAGTCTTTGGTGCAATAATAGTCTTATTACTAGTGTCTGGTGCAATAATAGTCTTATTTCTATTGTCTGGTGCAATAATAGTCTTACTACTAGTCTTTGGTGCAATAATAGTCTTACTTCTAGTCTTTGGTGCAATAATAGTCTTACTTCTAGTCTTTGGTGCAATAATAGTCTTACTTCTAGTCTCTGGTGCAATAATAGTCTTATTTCTATTGTCTGGTACAATAATAGTCTTACTAATAGTCTCTGGTGCAATAATAGTCTTACTTCTAGTGTCTGGTGTAATAATAGTCTTACTTCTAGTGTCTGGTGCAATAATAGTCTTACTTCTAGTGTCTGGTGTAATAATAGTCTTACTTCTAGTGTCTGGTGCAATAATAGTCTTACTTCTAGTGTCTGGTGCAATAATAGTCTTACTAATAGTCTCTGGTGCAATAATAGTCTTACTAATAGTCTCTGGTGCAATAATAGTCTTACTAATAGTCTCTGGTGCAATAATAGTGTTATTTCTATTGTCTGGTGCAATAATAGTCTTACTAATAGTCTCTGGTGCACTAATAGTCGTACTAATAGTCTCTGGTGCAATAATAGTGTTATTTCTATTGTCTGGTGCAATAATAGTCTTACTAATAGTCTCTGGTGCAATAATAGTCTTACTAATAGTCTCTGGTGCAATAATAGTCTTACTAATAGTCTCTGGTACAATAATAGTCTTACTAATAGTCTCTGGTACAATAATAGTCTTACTAATAGTCTCTGGTACAATAATAGTCTTATTACTATTCTCTGGAGTAATAATAGTCTTACTACTAGTGCAATAATAGACTCTTAACGACGACTGTAATAATATATTTATAGCTACAATTGTTATAATTGACTTATAGTGAATTTAATTCACTCATGGTGAATGTAATTCACTGTAATTATTTTGACGACTGCAATAATAGATTTATTGTGACAATTCTAATATTAGGCAGTGACGAATGCAAATAATTGGCTGATAGTGACGGCTAGAACAATATAGCCAAAATAGACTCATAGTGACAACTGTGATAATAGCCATAGTGATTACTGCAATTAACAGGTTTAAAATTGGCTATTACAATGATAGAGTTCTTTACCTTGTGCAATAAAGCAATGAAGTGAAGTGCCAGCTCCCGCCAAACACACACCGAAACTACGACGTTGGTACAACGTTCGAACAAGTTTTAACACCTCCTAACCAGTTATAACAACCAATATAGCAAGTTGTAACAACGTTCTAATACGTCATAAACACGTTAAGCCAAGATGTAACAACTTTATTACAAGTTGTAACAAGCGGAAAATAGAGACAGTTTCGGTGTGTGTTTCCAGGGTGCTGACACGCGGAACTTTCTTGCAACACTTGAAAAACAACAATCAATAACTGAGTTGCTTCTACCACCTAGCGTAGCTATAGACTTCTTTTTGTTGCTTTTAGCGATCGTACGTAATAGAATCCGTATTAACGTTTAGTGTCGTCATTGATTTCTAGTACCCTGTGCAATAATAGACGCGCTTCTATTGTTTAACGCAGCTATTCATTTCTATACACGGGCTCAGTAATAGCCTAATTTCTTGTTCTGGGTGCACTAATTGGTTCATTTCTATTGCCTAGTGCAACAATAAGCTAAATTATATTGTGTGGTACAATGTTAGGCTAACATCTATTGTGTGGTGCAATATTAGGCTATCATCTATTGTGTGGTGCAATATTAGGCTATCATCTATTGTGTGGTGCAATATTAGGCTATCATCTATTGTGTGGTGCAATATTAGGCTATCATCTATTGTGTGGTGCAATATTAGGCTAACATCTATTGTGTGGTGCAATATTAGGCTACCATCTATTGTGTGGTGCAATATTAGGCTAACATCTATTGCGTGGTACAATATTAGGCTAATATCTATTGCTTGGTGCAATATTAGGCTAACATCTATTGCGTGGTACAATAATAGGCTAACGTCTATTGCGGGGTGTAACATTAGGCTAACATCTATTGCGTGGTGCAATATTAGGCTAACATCTGTTGTGTGGTACAATATTAGGCTAACATCTATTGTGTGGTGTAGTATTAGGCTAATATCTATTGTGTGGTGCAATATTAGGCTAACATCTATTGTGTGGTACAATATTAGGCTAACATCTTTTGTGTGGTTCAATATTAGGCTAACATCTATTCTGTGGTGTAATAATAGGCTAACATCTATTGCGTGGTACAATATTAGGCTAACATCTATTGCTGGGTGCAACATTAGGCTAACATCTATTCTGTGGTGTAATAATAGGCTAACATCTATTGTGTGGTGTAGTATTAGGCTAACATCTATTCTGTGGTGTAATAATAGGCTAACATCTATTGCGTGGTACAATATTAGACTAACATCTATTGCGTGGTACAGTATTAGGCTAACATCTATTGCGTGGTACAATATTAGGCTAACATCTATTGCGTGGTACAATATTAGGCTAACATCTATTGCTGGGTGCAACATTAGGCTAACATCTATTGCGTGGAGTAACATTAGGCTAACATCTATTATATTTTCCAATTATATACTTTTCTAGAGTTGGTTAGTGTAATAATAGAATTCTAATCCCCCGGTTCAACAATAGACTTCTAATCCCCCGGTTCAATAATAGACTTCTAATCCCCCGGTTCAACAATAGATTTATTTCTAGTTCCTGGGAGAGTGCAAAAGTTAAATAGCCTGATAGCATAGGTTTCAACACTGTGGTTTCTTCTTGTGTGTTGCAATAATAGACTCAAATCTAATGTAGGTTATAATAATACTTGTAATGCGTTGTGCAATAATAGATGTAATTCTAGGGCATTGTGCAGTAATAGATGTAATTGTAGTGTTTGACCAGACCACACACTAGAATGTGAAGGGACGGCGACGTTTCGGTCCATCCTGGACCATTCTCAAGTCGATTGTGAGAATGGTCCTGGACGGACCGAAACGTCGTCGTCCCTTCACCTTCTAGTGTGTGGTCTGGTCGTCATACTTCAGCCACGTTATTGTGACTCATCGCCTACATATGTAATTGTAGTGATTTGTGCAATAATAGATTTAATACACAGAGAAATCCAGCCCCATGCTGGTGTTATGTTAGTACTTATAGTAAGGATGAGGACCATAGTATATATACCGATTTACAACGACATTAGAAAGTAGAAATCTGAACTATTGAGTTGGACAAACCCGAAAACTATTTTTTATTTGTGTTGCTTTGACAAACTAACCTAACCTCCCTAGGCCTAATACACGATATCTGAGGCCTAATATAGTACATATGTGTGCTATACTAGGCCTAGCAATATTTAAGTTGGTGTTTTAGCTTCATTTATTTTCAAATAATTCCTTACTAGTCAGTATACTACTATCTAAAAGCTAAGAACGTACGTATTCTGACTATTGACGATAGTCACAATAGGTACCATCTTAACAGGAGGATGAGTTGGAGGAATCACATTACCGTGATATATCAATCAGAAAATCCACAATAGCCTTAATGAGGGCTCGAACCTATGCAATGGGTGTTCCCAGATGGACGCTCTATAGACCACTACGCCACAACATGGTCAAAAGAATGGCAACCTGGGGAACTACTGCACCCACCAGAGTCCCCGAGGCTTTTACTGAAGCTGAACCGGGGTTTCGGCTTCAATGGAAGCCTCAACTTCATCAATTGATTCATAGGATCAAATCCTCATCACGGCGCCTGTGGATTTTCTCAATAGATGTCATTCTAGTCGGGTCGAGGACCGGGCCGCGGGGACGCTAAGCCACGAAAGGATCTCAAGATGATGTTTTGGGCAATAATTGGTGTAATTCTAGTGCATTGCTCAATAATATATGTAATTCATATGTTTTATGCAATTATAGATGTAATTCTAGTGCTTTGTGCAATTATAGATGTAATTCTAGTGCTTTGTGCAATTATAGATGTAATTCTAGTGCTTTGTGCAATGATAATGTACTTCTAGTGATGGGTGCAATTATTGAACTTACTTCTAGTAAGAGTTCGACAATATAATTATTTCTAGTGTTTAGGATACTAATATATTTATTCTCTGGGTCTGTTGCAATTATAGATGTATTCTCTGGGTCTGTTGCAATTATAGATGTATTCTCTGGGTCATCTCCAATAATAGATTTACCCTCTAGTCTCCTACAATAAAATAATTTTGACTTTGGTCTGCTGCAATAGTTGATTTATTCTCTGGGTGTGTTGCAATAATAGATTTATTTTCTGGGTCTCTTACAATAATAGATTTATTCTCGGTTTGTGGCAATAATAGATTTATTATTTGGTCTGCCGCAATAATAGATGTATTCTCTGGCTGTTGCAATAATAGACCTATTATCCCATTCATTTAGCATTTGAAATCTGGGGGGAAACATATCCCATAAAGCTGGAAATGAACTTTATTATTATTAACACCTTTAGGTACATGTGCATTTGTGCAGCTGTCCTAGGCTATATGAAGGGGAGTACAGTGTGTCAAAAAGCTAGCTACATGATGCTAAAAAATCCCCCATCACACAGGATGGTTAGTTATACAGAGGCATGTGATCAGTAGTCTGCACTGGCAGACTCTGGGAGCATTATGAGGATATCATCATCACAAGAGTGAATAAGGCAGCAGTGGTAATAAAAGTCCCCATCTCGTAGGATGGTTAGTCATACAGGGTCATATGTTTAGTAGCCTGCACTGGCAAATTTTGGGTGCAATATGAGGATATCCCCAAGAATACGAGAGTGAATAAATTGCAAAGCTCCAGGTACCTCATGCCAACGGGTCCATTACAATAGGAGTGCTTATTCTGCACTGTTTCCCGCCTCGGATGAAGTGCGTTTCAACCGCCACCTTGGAAAAATGGCGCCGAAAATGTCTTGTTGTCAAATATCTCGTTTTCTCTCAGTTTTAGCTCAATAGGTAACAAATACTTTTTGGAAGGAAATTAAATTTTCTACAAAAGTGGTCCTTATCACATTCTATGCAGGGTTTCCGAGGAAAAAAAGGTTTGATGTAACTTATTATTAATTGTTAGGTAAATTAGGCTTTTGGTACATTAAAATGTTGTTTATATGCCTGCTTTGTTTTTTAAGTACTATGCATAAGATTATAGATAACTCAGTAATGGAAAGCTGATTATACTAGTGAATCATTGAGTTCTATTTTGCAAGACTGGACAGCTGTTTGACTGTATTACTCCTGTATTTCTGTAACCAATATTACTTGTGTTGTTACAGTTTCATTACTGTGAAAAAAATATGTTTGTCATTTGAAATGGATTCGAATTTGTAAAGAATCTTTGTCAAATGATAATATTATCAACATTAAACAAAGGGAACTTAAGACATTAACACAATCAAGGGAAAAAAAAGATGCTGACACTAAAATAACTCACTTGAAGAACTAACAAGACTTTCTGTGCATGCAAGGTGTTAACAATCGTACTGTGGATAACACAACAATGTGTCATCAGTTTGAGAAAAGATGGAAAAACAATCTTCCTTGCAAATCAGTGTTCGAAAGTCACGTGACATTGTGTTTTGATTTCAAAACTAATTACTTTGTAACGAGGACGCCTCCGAACGCTAAATTTTTTAGAAAAGTGAAACTCAAGAAAACAGTGGAGAAACAGTGCATGAAGTTGCAACTCTGCACGTTAAAAAGAGTATTCGCGAGGCTTCAAAAAGACTGAAAAAGAAGTGGATACACTGATACACCAGAAGCTGCACTATGGAATTAGTTAATAGATTCGCAGCCAAGGGAATCACAGATTGTATTCGGTAAGATTGTTTAGGCGACATATACACCACAGACGTGGCAGACTTGAAGATGAACATGTCCCTCAAGCAGTTCAACATGCTTGTTCATAGAGGCACATGGTGAAGCATGTCAGTTCACATTCAGTGAAGTGCTTCAAGGTTTCACCTGACAAGACAAGCAAGAGGAGGCGTCATGTTATGGGGGTAGAAGTAGCCTAAGCTGCTCTATCCCTTTGATATGTATTTTTTTTCTCGTCTCAATAAACTTACTTGAACTTGAGCTTGGCGTCATGTCATGAATGATGAGCATATCATTATCACACTTGGACACAAGAGAGAACCAATCATTTGTTTTCGGGATAATGATTCGTGATTCATGGTTATATGATTTCGGGATAAAGAATCTATCATTCTATCAGAACCTTTTTTTTGCAATACACAAAGAGAGAACGAACAGGAAGAACGACGCCTTGGTGTCGTTCTAGCTGGAGTAGAACGTTAGAGAGGATATTACATCCAAATTATATGAAAGTGATAAATACCCAACAACAATTGCGTTCCTCGATGCCATTGAAACAGCTCTGAAGCTCTCCATCTGTTGTTGGAAATGGTAATTTTAAAGAAAAAGGAAATGACCGTTTTTGGTAAAGAATTCAATTTCCTTTCCAAAAAGTATTAGTTACCTAGTGAACTAAAACTGACAGAAAACGAGATATTTGACAACAAACACATTTTTGGCGCCATTTTTCGAAGGTGGCGGCTGAAGCTGACTTCTCCCGTGGCGGGAAACAGCGAGTCTAAGGCGGGATCACCATAGCCCGTGTTACTTGGAACTTTTGTTCCCAGTAGCTAAATCTATAACAACAACAACAACAACGCAGAATAAGGACTCACACAGTAAAGGAGTTAACGGTTTCCAACTTTCTGGGACTTTTTTTTTCCGAATTGACATTATTTTTTGGCTTTGACTGGGCTGTATATCTAGCGATGGTTCAGCAATAGACTTGCTTCAAGTCCGGGGTGCAATACTATATATTTCTAGAACCTGGTCTACGAAGAGATCTACATATAATGCAGGTTGGACTTCCCGGTGGAGGCGGAAACAAATGGGCAGTTTCATTCACTCTGATGCACCTGTTCACCTAGCAGTAAATAGGTACGTGGGAGTTAGACAGCTACTACGGGCTGCTTCCTGGAGGAGGGGGTGTAACAAAAAGGAGGCCTGGTCGAGGACCGGGCCACGGGAACGGAAAACCCCGAAATCAACTCAAGATAACCTCAAGATAACCTAACGATAACTAATGCTTCCTCTACTCGATTACAAGAGGCACGTTTATTATTACTAATTATTATAGATGTAGATTATACATCACATAACCATTAGTGAATTAATAAAAATGACGATGCAAATGCTATTAAGAGTTAGGTTACTATTTATAATAATTTATGCATCAAACCGGAGACACAGATCAGTTGATCCAAACACAGAAGACACAGAACTAATAACTTAGTCTTTAAAACAGAAAACATAGAACTATTAACTTCCCCTTAAAAAGAAGAGAAATATATAATTGAACTTAACATATAAAAAAAACTAGAGACAGAACAATTAACTGATATCAAAATAATGAAACATTGAACTATTAAGAGATATAGAACAAAAAACAGAGAACACAAAAGTTAGTTTCAAGTCACCTGGATTAATAGTACAAGAATGACTGGCAGCCGGTGAGGCGGCTTAAGTATTACTGAGAAAGTTTTAAGAGCAGACCCGGCACGAGTCCATCACTCAGACAGCCAGACGTTAAATAAACCATATCACAACGTACTAATTACCAGTCACGTCACGACAGGAACCGAACATCTAAGAAACGGCTCCAGTGTTCTGGGGCCAGATTCACAAAAGTACTTACGCAAGCACTTACGAACCTGTACATCTTTTCTCAATCTTTGGCGGCTTTGTTTACAATTATTAAACAGGTAATGAGCTCCGAAGCGCCAGGAGGCTGTTTATAACAATAACAACAGTTGATTGGCAAGTTTTCATGCTTGTAAACTGTTTAATAAATGTAACCAAAGCCGTCAAAGATTGAGGAAAGATGTACACGTTCGTAAGTATTTGCGTAAGTGCTTTCGTGAATCTGGCCCCTGGTCGTCCAGTACCATCGGAGACGATCGTATCGGACGACTTCTACTGACGACCTCTCAGGGGCAAGCTATGAAAAAAAACACTTCAGCACCACAACAAACACACAATTCGTCCTCGACGCAAGTCCATTCCATCCAGCGGTCGACCCCACAGACGTATTCCTAAATTTTTACATGCTGTTCATTCAAAACGGAAATTTTCTCTAATATAAATTAATATTATAATATATTAGCATATTGTGCATATATATAGGCATAGGTTAGGTTCTGTTGGCGATTATTTGTATTTGTAGTACGTGGGTGAAACATTTACAGCGTTGTGGTTCGAACACAGTACATATTTCATCAGTTGTGAGTCGTGTGTAAACTGTTTTCATTCATAAACAGGGGGTTTGGCAGGCACATGGAATCAGTTAAAAGCTCTGTACCTCGGTGTCCTTGCACCGCTGCTTTTCCTTATTCTCATATCAGATATAGACAAAAATACAAGTCACAGCTTCGTATCATCCTTTGCAGATGACACAAAAATCAGTATGAAAATTACCTCTGCTGAAGACATTGAAAAACTTCAAGCTGATATTAATAAAGTTTTCGACTGGGAATCAGAAAATAACATGATGTTTAACAGTGATAAATTCCAGGTACTCAGGTACGGTAAAAATGAGGACCTTAAACATAATACAGGGTACAAAACACAATCAAATCTGCCCATAGTAGAAGAACAGCATGTAAAGGATTTGGGAATAATGATGTCTGACGACCTAACGTTTAGGGAGCATAACCAAGCAAATATTGCGACAGCCAGAAAAATGATAGGATGGATTACGAGAACTTTCAAATCCAGGGATCCCATCACAATGGTTGTACTCTTCAAGTCACTTGTGTTGTCCCGTCTTGAGTACTGCTCAGTACTCACTTCCCCCTTCAGAGCAGGAGAGATTGCTGAAATAGAGGGAATACAGAGAACATATACGGCACACATAGACGCGATAAAGCACCTAAATTATTGGGATCGTCTCAAAGCTCTCCAAATGTACTCACTAGAAAGAAGACGAGAGAGATATCAAATAATATACACCTGGAAGATACTGGAGGGTCAAGTACCAAATCTACACAGTAAAATAACAACGTACTGGAGTGAACGATATGGAAGAAAATGCAGAATAGAACCAGTGAAGAACAGAGGTACCATAGGCACAATCAGAGAACACTGTATAAACATCAGAGGTCCGTGGTTGTTCAACACCCTCCCAGCGAGCATAAGAAATATTGCCGGAACATCCGTGGACATCTTCGAGAGGAAACGAGATTGTTTCCTCCAAGGAGTGCCGGACCAACCGGGCTGTTGTGGTGGGTATGTGGGCCTGCGGGCCTCTCCAAGCAACAGCCTAGTGGACCAAACTCTCACAAGTCAAGCCCGCGGGCTTGGGGAGTAGAAGAACTCCCAGAACCCCATCAACCAGGTATATGTGGGCCTGCGGGCCGCTCCAAGCAACAGCCTGGTGGACCAAACTCTCACAAGTCAAGCCTGGCCTCGGGCCGGGCTTGGGGAGTAGAAGAACTCCCAGAACCCCATCAACCAGGAACAAAATTCGTCAATGAAGCACTTGTTCCGGAAGTGTTCGAACGAAATCAGTTGTGAGTCGTGTGTAAACCGCTTTTCATTCGTAAACAGGGGGTTTGGCGGGTGCATGGAATGGACTTTGGTTTTTTTTTGGAGGACGGGCTGGTATTTGCAGTACGTTAATGAAGCATTGAGAGAAGTGCGTTTCCAGCAGAGGATGTGAACGAAATACTGTTCAAGAAAAGTACATATTTATCAGTTGTGAGTAGAGTGTAAACTGTTTTCATTCATAAACAGGGGGTTTGGCGGGCACATGGAATCACCTTTGGCTCTTTGTTTGGAGGACGGGCTGCCCCATGAGGTGGTTTGGGTTGTGAAGTGTCCAAGCTCGTGAGCTGTTAACTAAATGTAAACAACGCCGCTCTGATTGAGTAAAAATGTAAAGGTTTCGCAAGTAGTTGTATAAATGCATGCTGAATTGTGGCCCCCCCAGGCCTTGACAGTATATCCACTCACCTCCTAGTCTTTCTCCACTGTTAACTCTTAAGTCAATCAGCATCTGGGAGTCTGTCTATTGATTCCTTACAACGTTAATGAGGTGCGATTATTCTTGCATACTCTTGCCCTTGGCTGATTGTTTACCTCTGTAATTATCCACGTGTTTTCGTCTAGTTTGTTTAAAGCAATTGGCAGTTACATCAATCAACGTCTCCGGCTCCAGATACCACCGTTGTTTCGCTCTTAAAGACCCGTTGAAGTTTAATTCTAATTGTCATTGCCACCGTGACTACATAGTCCTGCCTTATCTTGAGGTTATCTTGACATGATTTCGGGGCTTTAGTGTCCCCGCGGCCCGGTCCTCGACCAGGCCTCCACCCCCAGGAAGCAGCCCGTGACAGCTGACTAACACCCAGGTACCTATTTTACTGCTAGGTAACAGGGGCATAGGGTGAAAGAAACTCTGCCCAATGTTTCTCGCCGGCGCCTGGGATCGAACCCAGGACCACAGGATCACAAGTCCAGCGTGCTGTCCGCTCGGCCGACCGGCTCCCCCTGTGTGAGTGCCCTGGTTCATCCTGGTCCGTTATTGATGGGAGATCAGTCACTAGGAGCAGCTTGTCAATCACGGTGAGGCAATGTGTGGATCCAAGTGTCGTCGCCGTGTGCATCTTGCAATGTGTTGGCGACTTTTGTCAAAGTTAGTCTGCAACGCCTTTCCTAGTCGAGGAATAATGTTTTTTGTGGGCGTTGTATTTTGTGTCAAGTAGTCGCCTAGTTGTGCTTGCGGGGGATGCGCTTCGGCTCGTTGGTTCCGTCTCTCAACTGTCAATCGACTGGTGTACAGATGTAGCACCTCTGTGTGCTACATCATTATTGAGGACCTGGATGAAGGTTTGGGAGTTCTCCTACTCCCTAAGACCGGCCCCGAGGCCAGGCTTGACTTGTGAGAATTTGGTCCACTAGGCTGTTGCTTGGAGCGGCCCGCAGGCCCACATACCCACCACAGCCCGGTTGGTCCGGCACTCCTTGAAGGAAACAATCTAGTTTCCTCTTGAAGATGTCCACGGTTGTTCCGGCAA